GGGGGGCCTGGCTGGCCTCCTGCAGCCTCCCGCTGCAGCTGTGCAGCAACAGCTCCCGTAGAAAGCATTGCAGTACTTTTGCGCTGTTCTCAATCTGTACTGACCCAAAGCCACACCAGAGTTAGGAGTAGGAAGGAAAACTAAATCAACAGCTAGTGTCTCCATTTTTTTCTGATACAAAAAAATCACCTCAGTTTCCATTGATGGCCTACCCAATAGTGATGCATCAAGGTTAAAGACTGGCAAATACAGGTTGAACCTGATACATGGAGAATTAAACATTGTCTATACAAATATTAATTACTATAAATACATATGATCAAATGCCATAGTGTGTTGAGTGTGGGTAAGTATCTTACACTGGGATTTAAAACACATTCACAAAATCACGTGATTTTTTGTGAAGAGTGATGCTTAATATACGCTGTGTGTATTTTACACGGAGATGAAACCACCAACAGAACTGATAAAACATCGTATGTAGTATGTTTTGTACACATTGTTCTGAAGAAATTCTGCAAGCTGCTAATGCAGGACTTTCACATGGCAAAGCCATATAAAGCTGCAGTTGGGACAATCAGGTTCTTGGTATCTGCTGGAGAAGAACAGGGGAGTTGAAAAGATCTCTGCAATATCGGTGCTGTGGATTTCTGCTGCGAATGTAATTAAGAGGAGGATTTTTTCCTGATTCCAGGAAAATCTCTTTAGTGCTTGGACACAGGAGTAAAAAGTCTTTTATGTCAGCCTTATTCAGAGCACTACAGTGGCAAAAGTAACTGAAACTGTAATTTGCAGTGTTAGAAAGTCCATGGGTTTATGAATCTCATGGTTTCTTCCCAACAAGGCCAGAATACATACATTCTCAGTTACTGTTGCACGTGTGAATTGTGAACAGTGACAGCAGCCAACCAACCACTGCTGTCACGGCAATGTGTCAGTGTGTGAAGTACAGTGTTATTCAGCACACTCTTTACTAGAGGGCAGCAGAGCCTCGGTGAATTCGCTGAAGATCGTTTAGGTTTAATTTTCCCGGATTTTAAAGAGTGGGTTGGTTAACATTTAGAACTCAGTATATTTGTGTGTGTCAGCTGTTTTGTTTGGGGTTTTTTTTTTTCTTTTACAACACTACCCTGTGCAGTACCAGTGACTAGCCAGTTTGTGAAGGCAAGGTTAGCCCCCTTGCACAGTTGAAACATGGGGTTCCTGGGCAGACAATATGAATTATTTGTCTGTGTCTGTAATACATTCCAGGCATGTAATGTGCTCAGAACAGCAACCCCCACCCACCCACTGCCAATCTCTGTCAGCCCAGCTCCAGCTCCTAATTGTTTTGTAACCTGGGACACAATCGTGAGAGGTATCACTAGAAATATTTGTGATATGGGGAGAAGGCTTATGGTTTGCTGCCAAGGTGCTGACAAAGGAAACAACATCTTTACAACAGCTGATTTAATAGTTCTGTGGTTGAGTTAAATTGAGTTCAATCTCCAGCTTTCAAACACCCATGTGCTTAAATCTGTTAATTTGCAATTGCAGACGGACCCCATTAAT